TTTGTCAAAATTGCAATTTATGGAAAAAAATTTGAAAAAATTAAAAATAAAGTAGATAGTTATCATAACCTTTATGAGAAAAATGGTTTTATTTTGGGTTGTTATTTAAAAAAATTAAAATTTTTGTAGAACTCAAAAACAAAAGAAATTTTATATAAATTTTGTTTTTAATAAAACATCACATTTTTATATTACATTGTCATTAATCAATGAGTTTTTTTCAAAAAATAATTTTAGTTAAAAAAATAATAATTTAGTTTAAACAAAAGACGTTTGGTTCTATACTTTTTATTCACCTGGTATGTATTTATTTTAAAAAGAAATTAAGCTGGATTTTGTTTGAAAAGACCATAAGATTATATTTCATTTTTGTAGAAAACATTATTTCTACATAATTCTAAATATTTACGAACCAAAATTTATAAATATAATATGATGATGAATAAGTTTTAGCAAGGCCATTAAATTGTTGCCTGGAATTAATTAATTAACTGAATACAAGGTTTTAGTCACTTTGTAATGCACAGTAAACAAGCAAGTTGTAAAATGCTAATAGTGGGATGAACTATAAAAGCCCTTTAAAGGTGAGAGAACACTTTTGATATATGATGTAATTTTACCATTGATAACGTTAGTAGAACTTTTTCCATATTAAAACAAAACGAAAGAATAACAAATAACGTGTTTGATTTAAAGAATTTTAGTAAGTAGATAATTAAAAATAGTACTTTACGTTATTATAGGAGTAAAAGTAATAGTTTATGTGACGAAGCTGAACGTTTATTTTTTCAAACGTAGTAAACTCACTTTTACAATATCTGAAGCAACAAAAGAGACATGAAAGAAACAGCATTGGTAAATGTCAATAATGTCATGATAAAAGTAAAAACGCTTAGGCGCAAAAATAAATACTTGACTCCATGGATGAAAAGTAAAACTTTTACTTGTGGAATTTAGTCATAAAAGTAGTTACTTTTGTGACGTTTACGGATAAAAATATTTATTACAAAAGAAGCATTTTGACATCGATGTCTACCTATGAGTTTTGAGATTTGCGGTTTTTTTATTTAAAGATTTTAGTTTTGATAAAAAGTTGTAACATAAAAAAAGTAATAATTACAGCACAGGTTTGATAACTTGACATCTGGTTTGACGGCTTGGCTAGGCAGTTTTTTGATGCCAACATAACTGTGCGTTGTTAAATTGGCTAACTTGCAATTTTCTTACATTTACCTACGAATGTGCGATTTTAAAATAAAATTTAGTTTTTTAAATTTTCTACTTAAAGACACGCTTGTTCCTAGAGAACAATGCGTCTTTATTATCCAAAATGGCTTTCAGGAATTTGGTTAGAAGCCATCAATTTCTATCTTTCATCCGAATCTCTTAATAAATTTTATTACAGCCGCATCGTACCCCGATGTCACTCCGAATTTATCCACTAGTTTGTAAAACCACCAAATTGCTAGTTTATGTCTTTCTGTAGAGTTTATGAATTTAAAAGCGAACAAAATGATTTACGAGCTTTTTCTTGTATCTACAATTTAACATTGAGGATTAAAAACCTCGCCACCTTAAATCCAGCTGTGATATGTAAATAGCCTCGCATGTGTTCTATCAAAGTATAAAATCATGTAAATCACATTCTATAACCTTGATGGAAATAATAACATTAAAAATGCGGATAAACACAACTAAATATAATTTAGACAACCGCTAAAACGCTTTTATCAATTTAAGTAGTAACTAAGAGTCTTAAAGTTAATGTAACGACGGGAAGTTGACGATTTGATTCGGAAATTTGTGACAGTCATATATAAGAGAGCGAACACATTTCCGGTCCATTAACAAAACGTTTTTTTAAACACTACCCGTGCTTAACTGGTAATTAAATTGACCTGAGGTGCAAATAAGTGTGTTTAAGCTCCATCACAGTTGAAAATTAATATTTACTGAAGTAACAATTTCAAATAACAGACACAGATGGTTCAAATAATAATGTGGCGTCGATGTAAATAAAATAACAGACACATAATTGTTGTAGGATTAGAATTTAAACTAATCGTGCGATTGTACGCAATTAATTGCGACTATTTTAAAAGCGCTACGAAATTTTACACAAAAAGTCGCATCAGATGGTAACCACAGTTAGATTAGACTATAAATGTTTGCGCGCATTATTTATTTGTGACGTTTTAAGAAACAAGTGAGTATAATGAGAATAAAAACTCGAGTAAATGCGCTCTGGAATAATAAACTTTTCTAACTTTATTTCTATGTGATTAGAAGCAGCAGTTTTATTGATTTTAACATTTTAATCTAAAGATAATAGTTATTTGGAGTAAGTAATGAAATCATAACAACGTTTATTAAAGTTATAATTTAACTAGTGCAGTTGGTAGTGCAAAATGTCGAATGCTGATAATCTCCAATACCACTTTATAAATTGCAACAAGTGAGATAACATTGGTAAATGTCACGGTAAAAGTGAAAACGCTTAGGCACAAAAATATAATTTTAGCGCCATGGTTGAAAGATGAAACTTTTACTTGTGATATTAAGTAATAAAAGTGGTGACTTTTGTGACGTTTGCAGATAAAATTTTAAAATATTCGTTCAATGTGGAGATGCATAATAGGTAACATTATTTGAAATTTTATGTAACACCATTTATGAAATAATTATTATGTACCTAATCATGTTAGTTTTCTCTAGTGTGACGTACAATATTTTACAAAAGTAAGTTAAAAAAAAATTATACCCAAAAAAAAACAAAACAAGGCAACTGTAAAATAATTTACAGCCTTGACTAGTCTAATTTTAAAATTATGATTATTACATATTTTGACCTAACTAGGTCTAATTTTTTTCTGAAACATTTTGTAAGTATATCAATAAAAAAAACTATAAACTTTAAAAATATTTTTATGTATTATAAAATTCAATATAATAAATAAAACATTTTTTGTTAGTTATCACTTATTAGATACTGGGTGCGCCAGAACTCGCACTCTACAGAAAAATGCCATGTAAGGTAAGATACCAGGAACATGGAAAAAATGTTAAAAAAATTCTATCTATAAAAATTTCGAAATTATGAGAGTTTGAAATTTGCACTTTGGCATTTCTGTTGGAGAAATAATTAATAAAGTTTAATAAAGTTTAATAATTAATAAAGTTTTCTTGCTACAGGCTATTAGAGGAGGAAACAAGGAAGCTGTATCCTAAATTGTAACTCTATGTAATGTTTTTTAATAAATAATGATTATAAAAAATCTGGTGTGAACATCACACGACTTTCCTTATCCAACTTATTTGGAAAACATCCTTACGGTGTTGGAAATCCGAGGAGCAAACGTTTGCGTTAGTGCCACCTGCCGGATAACATACCAAATTATTATTTTTATTTTATCACATTTTACTGTTTAATAAGGTATATTTTATGATTCTAAATAATTTTTATCCCCATGAATTTATTTATAGTAACTTCAAATATATAAATTTGATTTTTGGTCTTTGCGGCCGAACGGTGCGACCGATTTTTATCAATTCTTTCGTGCTGCGTCCCCTCACACACATACACACACACACACACACACACACAGAGAGAGAGAGAGAGAGAGAGAGAGAGAGAGAGAGAGAGAGAGAGAGGCGCACACACACACAGACAGACAGACACAGAGAGAGAGAGAGAGAGAGAGAGAGAGAGAGAGAGAGAGAGAGAGAGAGAGAGACGACCCAATGGCCCAAACCAACTTGTTTGGTGTCGTGAAGCTATAATTCGTCCAGAAATGTAAAAATCTTTGTAGGTCAAATTTCAGCCGATTACAATACTTTCCTTATCCTATAAGGAAAGTAAAAAACATACAAAATTATCAGTTTCATTAAATAGGTATAAAAATTGTCAAATTTCAAAAAATAGATGTCAAAATTTTTCGACAGAAAATCTTTCAAACGTTTTTTTCATTTTTCTGGTATCTCATCTTACTTGCAATTTTTTACTGGGGCGCAAGTTCTGACACACCCTGTATATCAAGAGAATAAACAACTATTTTAATTCCGAGAATGTAGGTAATGTCAGAGGCGATCGAAAGAAGCCGAGGGCATTTTCATTTTATTACAGAGATGCATACAAAACCTAACAGAGTTAATTAATTTGTCAAATAGTGTCAAAAATCAATTACAATTTTTTTCAATTGCTTGTGATATTGTTCTTGCAATTTCAATCATTTTTCACAACAATACAATTTTCCCATTTGCACGCCTGCATTGTGTAAACATTCTAAAACAAACACACTCCTATACCTCGAATTTTCTCAGAAATGAAATTTTCTCAAAATTTTCCAAATAACCGTCGATAATTTTCAGCTTCCCAGCGAATTGGCAATATTGAAAGTCCAAATACAGGAGTATGGACTTAAGAAAACCGTTGTCTAAGACATAAAATTGTCACGGGAAAAAACTAACAAGGTTTTGTTTAGGCACGAATTTTAAATTTATGTTTTTCCAAATAATTTTTAAACGAACGAGTAAAAGAATACTAAATTAATCAAAGTAAATTGATTATTGTATAATAAATTATATCCAATAATTAAATTCCATTTTGACGTTATAATTTCTGATAATTGATATTTCACATTGTGTGCCACATTAGTGTCAATTTTATATTCTGACCATTGTCTCTAATTTCCATTTGCATCACACGCATAATTACGATTTAATTAACCGTGGTTTGTTAATTACAGAGTGGGCGAAAAATGTTTAATTGAGTCTACAGTACCCCCAATATTAAGCGTTGTTTTTGCGGTAAAAGATTGACATTTAAAAAAAAAACTCATTTAGTCGCACTGCTTTGACATTTTTATTATATTAATTTTGCTTCTCAAGGAGTCTGCTTTAAAATTAAGAATTTACGAAAGATAATCTCGAGCGTAACAAGAAAATGAAGCGAGCTTGTGCAAATTTTCATAAAAGCCAAAATCCTCGCAAAAATTACTCACATTTATACAAAAATAAAACACCAAATAAATACGTTTCAACACCAACGTGCCACAAGTCACCTTAACTAAACCTCCATCGACATAATTTCGGCAAAGTTTTAAATCCTGCGGTCCTTATTCGAGCTTATGCTTGTACGAAAGCGCGCATCTGACTGAATTCTATTCCCTCCTAACATTTAAAGTCCGTCTCTGACTAAAGCACGCACGCCTGTCATTTAAACTTTTTCATAGAAATAATCCCAGATGTGAAAATGTATCTCGCAGTCTGCTGAAGGTAATGATAAATAATGTATGGGCTGTGGTGGGTCTGAATCAAGGATTTTATAGACCGTTTTTGATTTATCGGCGACGGTCCAGGCCTTAAATTTTCTCCCAAGGGTCAAGAAGGGAAATTTCGATGGGGAAAGTGTTAACACTAACCCGATGTTTATTTATTTTGCGGAGTGGAGTGTGTTTTATACCGGCACAATGACTAAATCGATATGAAATTTAAAGTGAAGTATTTTTAGACTAAAGTACAATAGACTGATAACACTCACAGAGTGGTTTATTAATTCCTTACATCTTATTTTTTGTATTCAGAAAAAATAGAAAAATAAGAATATAGTTCAAAATTTTGTGGTTATAATATAATTTAACAATTTAACAATGCAAAAAAAAGTCCAAGAAGTGATTACTGATTACTCATCATCACTCAATTTTATGATGTTATATTAGTTTTCAAAATTTAGTCGGTAGGTTTTCTATTGTTGTATTCCTTATTGTTATGTTCGAAATAACATTTAAGGAAAATTAAATAAAATATTGATTACAATAAATTTAGGGCCGGTCCAAAAATAAATATTTCTAATTGATTAAAAAAAATTGCCAGTGCAAACGATAGAGGATTATATAGACTTTAATTTAGTATTTTTATATTGTTCAAAATTTTTAGCGTATGTCAGTGAGATCCTAAAAACCAAATTTGGAAAAAAAAAGTTATTGGAATCTTATCTACATTTAAATTTTCACAATTATTACTAGAAAAAATCATCGAATTTTTTCATGTAGAAATTATTACAATTACTTAAATGATTTTTTTTTCAAATTTGGATTTTATAATCTCACTGCCATACGCTAAAAATTTTGAACAATATGTAATATGTAACAGGTGTTCGGAAAAAAAACGTTAATAGATTTGGGGAAGTGGTTTTCTAAGTCAAATTAAGAAAATAAGTTCCCATGGACCAATGCCCAGAAATGCTTCCTAAGGGAGCTAGAGCAATAACTCAAATTTATATGAAAAAACTTACTGCGTGGGTTGCTTTTCAGAATGCACGGTTTTTGAAAACGCTGTGACATACAAAATAGAACAAAAAATATTTTTCAAAAAAATTAGCCAATAAATCTGCCTTCACAGATTGACCACAGTGTCTTCACCTGTCTAAATAAGGTATATACCAATTTCTGATATCACCAATAGAATTAGCACCAAAAAATTATATTAGATGCAAACTTCTGTAAATTTATATCCACCGGTTACTGATATAATTGAAAAAAAAGATACGAGAAAGATAAAGTCAAGTTAAAAACTTTAGTATAATATTACATTTCAATGGTACGTTTCCATTTTCTTTAGATATAACAAAAAGTGTCTACAACAATAATATAAATAAAAGAATTAAACAACAAATAAATCTATTTTTTTATTATTTTTTTTATGTAAACATTCCTAAAATAGACGACACTGCTACATGTGTGGTGGAAGGAAGATAACATGAAACTTAAAAAAGGTGGGGAAAAAATCGTAAAACAAAACAAAACAGTAAAAATTAAAAACTGTGTATGACATGTTAAAAAACAATGAGCCATAATAATATAAATGGGAACATGACAAAAACATAAATAAAATAATAAAAATATACAATAGTCAACGATTACGATTTTTCATTTTAACATCATCTTTGTAATTGTTGCCTATTTTGTCTAGATCGGTTTGAAGATTGACATTGTCAAAACATTTAATGTAAGTATAAATTTTCTTATATTATTCTTATAACTTTGTTTTGTTTCATGTGTAGAAATTGAATATTATTGTATTCCTCTTTCGACTGAATGTTTAAGAAGGCCTGAGTGTCTTATATTAGCATGAGATAAGTGATATTTGTGTTGTTTTGTTGTATTTTTTATATTATGACAGGTTTCACCGATGTAACAATTACTGCAATCTTTGCTGTCAATTTTGTAAATGACGTTAGAAATTAAATCATTCTGTTTTTTCCTTAACTTTACTAAACAACAAATCATAGATGGTGTTTACAAATTTCCATGTTGGTATAATATTTACAGTTTTAATTAATGATTCAATTTTTTATTTTAAACTAGCGTCAAAAGGAAAATTAATATAATTGTTGATATTATGATTATTATTATTATTGAAAGTTTTTTTTATTATTAAATTTGTTGAAAATTAGTTTATTTATTAAGTGAGAATATAATATAATAACCATTTTTTGACAATAGTACTCTGCATTTCATTAGGCTTTTATCTTTAAAATTAGGATGAGAAATAGTATTAATTCGATGAACCAAATTTTTTATAATAGACAATTTCTGATTTTTGTATAAAAATCAAAGACTATCAAATTATTATCAAAAATTAAAGTAGTAGTAATCAAGAAAATTAATGCGATTGTTTTTAAAACTTCGACAACTCTAACATGTTAAAAATATTATCTATTGGTACAAGTTCTATGCAATCATTAACATATCTATAATAAATAAGAATGTCAAAGGGAATATTGTTAAAAACAGTAGTTTCCAACTCATATAAAACTATCAGCAATAATAGGAACCCAGAGAACATCTAAAAATCTGCTTATAAATAATTTGATCAAAGGTGAAATAAGAAGATTTTAAAACAAATAGAGTAGTTTGTTAACTACAAAGAATTCTTTGTCAATATTAATGTGTAATTAGTTAAACCTTCTATTAACAATGTCAATAGTCAAATCAGAATATTAGTAAAAAACGAAATTACATCAAATGACACTAGAGTAAAAGTATTATGATTATAATTCTTAAAGATCTATGTCTTTAATTTTCATTCATAAATCTGATGTGTTCTTTACGTTATAATAAGAGGTAATTATCAAGGTTTTTAAGATGTTGAAAAAAAAGACTTTTCCCCCATTTTCAGGAGGCTCAATCTTCCTTGGGAAGCATTTTCGGACGTAGATTTATAAAAACTTTTTTTTTATTTTGACCTAAAGAATCACAACTTGGAATCTTTCAAGGTTTTTTCAAACACTTTGTATGGAAATGCAATTTATATCGTATTAACTAGTTATTTTAATATATTTCTTTGAATCCCGTAATCGGTGATCGTTTTAATTTTCAGTAGTGGCTTTTGTGCAGAGGTCAAGTATTTCATTTTTCAACGATTGTGTTCTTTTTTCAAGGATTTCCTCACAATACTGATGCTTTTTTTCATTTTCCCCGAACAATAATCAACCTACGTGCAGCGTGAAATTTTCGCCGATCAAAAGAAAGTCATCATTTCAATTTATCGAACCTTTTTATTCATAATAATAGCTTACAATATTCCTCAATATCACCTTATTCGCAACGAGCCGAATCAAGGATTGTATTATTCATCAGCATATAATTCCGGTGATGGATTCACCAAAATACAAATTCAAAAAGAAAAATTTTCATCGAGGTGGTTTAATTGAAAGAAGCTCGAATTTGACACGACGAAACGAATGATACTCTTGAGAGAATAAAATGTAGAAAATAAGATTCGCGTAATATATCACGGAATTTATCTATCATTTGTCATGGGAAAACGGATGGGATAAAGCTCGTCAAGGCAAGCTTCAAAAATGTGCGAAATACTGCAACGAACAGGATAATTACATGACTGTTTGTCATTTTTTCACAATGAGAAAATCTCTTTTTCGCTCATTCGGGACGTATCTAATTTAAAAGACTATTACTTACCTCAACTTGACTTAAATTTTGATTTGATTCATTGAGAAAAAGTATTTTTATTTTAGGAGAATTGGATTATGTGAAAGGATTAATTAAGGGGACCGTTTTATCGAATTCCACAAATAAGAGGCCTTTATTAATAACGGCTTTTATTCCGAAAATTAACGATCTATTCGTGCCCATAATGCGACCAATCATTTTGAATAAAACTCTTTCACATAAGAAGGGTTCGATTCATAAACAGTTTTAATGGCGGTGGAGAGAAAGAGAATGAAAGATTATTTCTAAAAATGTTCAAATGATAAATTCTGTTTTATTCAGTCCCGCGTTTAGTTAAATGAATGCCAAGTTTTTGTAAAGTGAAGCGAAAAGAAGAGAGACTTTATTCTTTTTAAATTCAAATTTTCTAACTGTAAAAGACCTTCAAGGAGTTCTCTTTTTTATTTTAAATATTTAATCTATTTTATTTTAAACTTAATACTTGAATTAGAGAGTTGAGGTTAATTAATTAAATAAAGACAAGCTATATGCAAAAATAATGAGGACCTAAATAGTAATTTTAATTATAAATACATATCTAATAAAAAAATAAATGAAACTATAATAAAAGTACAATATTATAATAAAATTAGGAAATTAGTTTATTTTGTCTTGATCTAGTTTTCTTCATTTTGTTTTTGTTTTGAAACCAAAAAAAATAAGTTTTTTTTTGATTATTTATTTTTTATTCCTCAAACGACAACAGATAGCTTAACTGACGCACTCTGTATATCTTTTTTGGTAACAAAAATAATTATTTAAAGTTCTTTATTTGGTGCTTTAGTTCTGTTTTTAAATTTTTTATTTTTTATAAAATTTTTTAATAAATGTATTCTTTTTGTGCGTAGTGTTTCTTTTATTTTCAAAACACAACTTCTATACTATTTATTATTTTTTATTACCGTCAGTCTGATTTAAATCTTTTGGTTATTACCAACCCCATTTAATAACTAAATTTTGCCCTTTCAAAGGCAAACTCACCTTCCATTTTCCAGCTATTCTAATCTGAGTAGTTTTCCTCAATACAGAGTTACTTGGGGGAAATCGTTAGTAAGTTGAGAATATTAGCCGTCTTTGAATTAGGAAATTGGGTTTGTAAGAGGAACACATTTCATTTACTTCG